TGTAGGATTTAACTACTGAGCTTTAATTAATTCTCACTGATTAAAAATATCATATACTTGGTCCTATGACTACCTGCATTATTGTGCTTTTTGGAGATCTTGCTCTCTTAGTTTGTTTGTTTTTTCCCCACTGTATGGTGGTGGTGTGCCATGCAGTCAGTTCTGACTCATAGTGACCCTGCATAGGGTTTCCAAGACTGTAAATCTTTATGGGAGAAGAAAACTTCATCTCCCTCCCATAGAATGGCTGGTAGTTTTGAACTGCTGACCTTGAGGTTGTTGTGTTGTTGTTAAGTGCTGTCGAGTCGGTTCCAACCCATAGCGAAACTGTACAGGTTAGCAGCCCTCATAAGCACTATGCTATCATAGCTCCTTTCCCCAATGTATAGATACGAGAATTTATGTTATGTTCTTAATGTTTCCATTTAGAGCACTCCCTTGAGTAATACTTGTAGTTGGGTTGGTCTGGTGTTTGCAAACTCCCAGAGCTTCTGGTTGTTCTTCTGGTCTCCAGAGTCTCTAGGGGAAAATTTGCATTGATTCTTACTGACAGCCACTTGATACATTATACTGAATTATTCTCTTACTGCTTTAAGAAGTATCTCCTTATTTTTAATTTTCAAGAATTTATCAGGATATTTGTGTCTCTTTTAGTGGCGTTCATGTAGCATCCCATATTTATAGGCTTATTTCTCTGTTCAGATCTGAGAAATTCTCATTGATTACCTCTTGGAAAATTGTTTCAATGCCCGATTGTTGTCATGGAGCTCTGAGAGTTTAGAATTCTAATGTTATATTTCTTCATCGAATTCCACAGTTCCTTTTTGGTTTGTTCATTTCTCTCGTTTCTTTTGAGACTTGATATGTTCATTTATTTCATCTTCTAGTTCATTCATTCTGTCTTCTGTTCAACTCTTTGTTTATTCTATAGTCTGTTCAACTGTTGTATATTTCTCTTGCTTTTTCTAATTCAGATTTTTAGTCTTTAGTTACGGTAGTTTCCTTCCTCCATATGTGGTGGGTTTTTTTGTTTTTTTTTTAATGTTTTCAATTTTCACATTGAGTCCCTCATTTCGTTCCTCCATTTCTTTGATGATCTCCACTAGTTTATTCTCTGTGTGCTTTTTGTTGTCTTTAAACATATTTGGAACTGTTGTCTGGAAATTACCAATTCTTTGCATTATGTTTTCTCTTGTTCATATTTTGATTTTAACTAGTCCTTCTCTTGTGATTTTTACTACTTTAAAAAATTTGAGGGCCATTTTATTATCTTTGTTTTTTTTAATACATCTATTAAACTTGTTATTCTTGCTTTTGTAGAAAATTTTTCTGATTGAATGCCCTGGTGGCGCAGGGACCAAGCAACCAGCTGCTAAATAAAAAGCTGGGGCCCATGGCCACCAGCTGTTCTACAGGACAAAGGTGTGGCAGCCTGCCTTTGGGAAGACAGCCCTGGGAAATCCATGGCGCAGTTCCACTCAGCCAAGTAGGAATGCACTGCGTCAGGATCAACACAGCAGCAGCAGCAGCCGTCCTATTTACTCCTGAGACCACTCTTGTCCTTAAAGACTTTTCAGTGCTGATTCTGGAGTTCTGGATGCTTGATCTTGGGAATGTAATAAAAAACTGTGCAGTTGTGGAGAGGAGGTGTTAAGTGTTTGTAGACACTGATGTAAACAATGGGACTTTCTTGGGCCAAAGGTGTGGGGCTCTCTTGGTCTTTACCTCATGAATGCCACGCCCATGGTATCCCTCTGTGGGTCATTTCCTCTGTGCCTTCAGTTAAAAGGATTCCCCCAACCCTGCTGCCCTTGCAGTTCTTCCCAGCCCCATTGGCCATCTATCTCAGACCTTGGTGAGATTCCACAACACCACCGTCTACTTCACTCTTACCAAATTGCTCAGCCCCCAAACTCCTGGGACCACTATGCACCACTTTACAGAAAATTGGCTACACCTTCTTCAGATTAGCTCCTTCTGTTTGAAGTGCTACCCAGCTCCATCCCAAAATGGCTGTAATGAGCAAGTGCTCCCAATGTTACCACGTAGGTTCTCCTGCCTTCTGAGCTGGTTCCACTCCTCTTCTCCCCCGGTTCTGGACTCACCCTGACTCTCCAATACTTCAGCTGCTGTTCAACATTCTGGGATTTCAAGTTGTGTTTGTTTTTATTCATTGTTCAGTGGGGTAGTTGCTGAGGGAGTAAGTGGGAACTTCCACTAACTTTGCCTTCTTGCTCCATTTCATCACTCTACAATCTTGACAAAGTCAAGTGGACACTTTAAGGCTACTAGACTATGATATTACATTTCCCTAACCTACTCATGTTCCTCGTCTCTTAAATGACTCTCTTACTCCTTTTAATTTCAGATACCTCCTCCTCCATCATCACACTTAGCTAATGAACTCAGGCTGTTTCCTCAGGCCCTACACACTACTCATATGCTATGATATGCACTTTCCGATTATTATCAAAAATGAACTCAACATGCTAGTTTCTAAAACTGATCCATCTCTGTGAGCGCCTGATTCCATCCTATCTTGTTCACTCGAGGAAATTATTCCAGTTACTCTACCCTCTATCCGTTTTTCCTTTTTAAATTCTCTATTGGATTCCTTCTCTGGTAGCATAGTGGTTACGAATCAGGCTGCAAACCTTAAGGTCAGCAGTTCGAAACTACCAGCTGTTCTGCGGGAGAAAGATGAGGCTTTTTGCTCCCGTAAAGATTTACAGCCTTGGAAACCTTGTACAGGGTCGCTATGAGTCAGAACCGACTCCACGGCACATAACAACAACAACATCGGATTCCTTCTATCATCAGTAGAAACACATTATTTTTCCTAAATTAAAAAAAAACAACAAACAACTAATTTTTTTACAAGAATGGTAAGTCTGTTCAACCGGGAAGGAAGAACACCTTCAATAAATGAGGCTGGGAAAATTATATTTTAACGTGCAGAATAATGAAACAGGATTCATGTGTCACAGGTACACAACTCAAAATTGATTAGGACCTAAATGTGAAAACTAAAACTATCAAATTCTTAGAAAAAAATGCAGGGGCAAAGCTGTTGGGCCTTGCTTTTAATACTAAACTGTCCAATATAATAACAAAAGCACAAATAGCAAAATACAAAATAAATAAATGGGACCTCATAAAAATAAAAAAACTTTTGTTCATCAAGATTTTACCATCCAAAAAGTGAAAAGACAAACTACCAACTAGGAGACTATCTTCAGAAACTGTATGTATCAGAGAAGAATCTAATAGCCAATCTTCAAGGAACAACCTTGGGTTGATGGTGGTGGTGGTGGTGGGGCTTATATGCCGTGGAGTCGGTTCCGACTCATAGTGACCCGGTACAGGGTTCCCGAGAGTGTCAATCTTTACAGGAGCAGAAAGCCTCATCTTACAACTGGTAGTTTTGAACTGTTGACAATGAGGTTACCAGTCTGCTTCATAACCACTATGCTACCAGAGCTCCTTAAAGGGTTGATAGGGGGATGAGAAATTTAGATATTGGCTGTAAAAAATCAAGGAGCTACAAAGACTGGTTTATAAGCTCTCATGTGTGAGTTCAGTGGTAGAATGAGGGCGGTAAGGTAGAATGCCCACTGAATAGTTTCCTCTTTTCCAGATGGATCTGGTTAAAGGGGACAGGTGATGATGGTGATAGGATTTATGACTTGATTATGCGTAACTGTTAGCTGAATTCATTGTGACTGTCACAACTGTATGTGTAGAAGATTTGTGACTAAAAGGAGGGAGTGGGTAGTCTTTCATTTCAGGAACAGATCATCCCAGAACTATGAAGAAGGAGATCCCCACCTATAAAATGGGGACAGCAAAAAAGGTAGTTGTGTGGCAGCAGGCAGGAGACTGGCTGGTAGAATGTGTCCTTTGAACTCTTAAATGAATACATATGCTTTTGTTTTGTAGGTGTACATCAAGTATATTTGCCTTATTCATTTGTGAAAAAGGTAATCAAAGAGAGAAAGTGGGATAAATGTTGAGAGAGGGGACTGTAATCACTGAGATCAATGAAAATTGATGGCTGAATGTAAAAAAAAAAAGAAGAAGAAGAAGAATCTAATAACCAAAATATATTTTCAAAACCTTCAACAACTAACAACAAAAACACAAATAATCAAATAAAAAATGGGCAGAGGACTTAAATAGACATTTCATCAAAGAAGACATTCAGATGGTTCTCAAACACAAAAAAAGATGCTCAACATAATTAGCCATCAGAGAGATGAAAATCAAAACCACCATAGAAATCCACTTCATTCCTATTAGGATATCTGGGATAAAAAGAAAAATAACAAATGTTGGTGAGGATGTGAGCACATTTAAACCATTGTCCATTGTTTGTGGTAATGCTGTTTGTTATGGTTCAGCTCTAGAAACCAGTGTAGCTGTTTTTCAAAAATTAAATATAGAACTATCATGTAACCCAGCAATTCCACTCCTAAGCCTATATCCAAAAGACTTGAATGCAGAATTTCAAACAGACTTGTATACCCATGTTCAACCACAAAAGAACAAACAGAGGAGCCACTAATCTGGCGTCTTGGTGTGACGTTGTGGGTTAATGTGCTGGACTGCAAGGTCAGTTGGAATCACAAAGTGGGTGGTTCAAGCTCACCAGCTGCTCTTTGGAAATCCCATACAAGGTCACTATGGGTCGGAACTGACTTGATGGCACTTAACAACAACACCAACAATCTCAGGCACTTCAACTACCATAAAATAATTTACCTCATGCATTTTTTAAAGTACATTAATACCTAAAACCACAAACTTATTTAATCAGGTACAAAAACTAATATGATTTTCCAAAGAATATTGACATTGCACTGGATCTGCTTTATTCAGAGATTACAAGGTCTTACAGTTTAAAGTGCATGTTAAGTTATTACAGGAGAAAGTTTTGTGTCCTTCCAAGTCCCTAGGAAGCAGGAAAAAGATTCTTGGAATCCAGAAGGTGTTCAACATACCTGCAAGAAACGCTCTAGTCTACAGGATGAGTGGTCTGGACCAGCCCCATCATAACCGTGTGGGAGGAGAATAACAATGCCGCTTTGTAGGAGCCACTTGGCCTCACCTAGAAACGTGTAGTGAAGAGAGTAAGAACTCTAGGAAGCAGGAACATGACTTGACGAGTGAGACAAACATTAGTGTGCTGCCACCCCACTAAAACGAGCTTCAGGACATACTGTCTCCAGCATTTGTCATGCTATAGTTAGGGGAAAAGAAAGGACTGTTTTGTGTGGAAGTCTCTGATGACATATGTACTGGATTTAAGCAAGTGACTGACAGACTCAAAGACGCAAGTCCCTTTGATTTCACCTGAGATACAAATTATACAAAGAATGGGCAGCTCCTATTAACATAGCTTACAACACAGGCCACTGCTCTCAAATTAAGGGCAGCAAACACGTTCGGATAGTCTTTGGACATGCCAAAGTCCAGTCAATTTAAGGCAGCTTTCTTCCTCACAACTACAGAGTTATGAAGAAACACAACTCTGGGAAAGGCCTGAAGTGAACACTCAAAACTTATACTTTTTATTTTTACAGGAAGCAAGTACTGCTTTTCTAAACGAAGCAAAAATAAACAATTGTCAGATACTTGAGTGTACCTGGTTTGAGAGAAGCTAATTTTCAAGGCTGCCATCCGATCTCACCAAAAATCCTCACGGATAACCAATGATGTTGCTATTGTTATTAGTTGCCTTTAAGTGATTCTAGCTCATGCAAGCCCCATGTGTGTGGAATAGAGCTGATCCACACGGTTTTTGAGACTTCCTTTTGGAAGCAGACCTCCAGATCTGACTTCCGAGGTGACTTTGGGTGGGTTCAAGTTGCCAACCTTTCAGCTTAACCACTGACACCACTACCTATCACTTATTCATATTATATTTACTCAGTGTATCCCAAGAGCAGATCCCAAAATCAAAAGCCTAGGAGATGCAAGCACAACCACTGCTTCCAGCCACGCACATTCCCCAGTAAATTGTCAGGTACTTCATGCACAGTAGCTGAGTGGTCCCCAGTCCTCCTGCTGAAAGATGTAAATAAATGCTCTTCCCAACAGCTTACTTAATTGCCTGATAGTTGTCATGTCCCACAGGGTAAGTCTCTGGTGGTGCAATGGTACAAAAGAGTCTCATAAATTACAACACCCCTTTTCCTTCAGTGGTCCCTTGAGACTGCTGCAGCGTATCCATTATACTTCCACAGACTACTACCAACCTCCAGAGATGAATGTGTCAAAGATGATCTGGGCACCGTTGAAGAAATCGCCAAACTGAGCTTCCCAAATGGGCAGCAATTTAGGACTTTCAATGCTCATGCCATATTCAAATCCCAGGACGGCCTCTTCCGAAAGGGGGCTGTTGCTTACCTAGGCCCAAGAAGTAAAACAGAAAACATCATCATGAAAGGAACAAGCTGACCTAAGCCAGTAATGACAAAGAGCATCACATAGATACAAACCTCTCAAAAGGGAAGGGAGGCCCAGAGGGAAGCTTTGTTTTCATTCATCAGCACATTCCTTTGAGAAAGGAGGTCTACTGCTATCAGTGATGCATATTGGAAAAGTTGGAATAAAGAGAGGAAGAGATAAGAGAGACTGGAATATGGGTACGAAAGGCTTCCTTCAAGGATAAACACCATGAACTTTTCGGAGGACCTACCCTTGGAGGTGAGAGCAAATCTGTGTTATGCAACGCTTTTTTCAATGTCATAGAATAAAGGAGGGAAACTTACAAATTAAAGGCATAATGGATATTATTTGGCAATACAAAAGAATGAAATACTGACATATGCTGCAACATGAATGAACCTTGAAAATATCACGCTAAATGAAAGAATCTAGTCACAAAATGCCATATATTATATAAAATGTCCAAAATAGCAAATCAACAGAAACAGAGAATAGGTTAGTAGTTCCCAGGGAATGAGGAGAGAATTCAGCTGTCATTACTGACAATAAGAATGGGATTTCTTTGTTAAGTAATAAAAAATGTTCTGAAATGAGATATTGGTAATGATTGTACGACTGTGCAAATGCTAAAAACCAAGGACTTGTGCTCATTGAAAGGCTAAATTTTTAATTTATTAATTATACCTCTAAGAAGCTTTTCTTAAAAACTCAGAAACTATATCTATATTATAACTATAAAAATCAGTGACATAGAAACAAAAATTCAGAGACAACATGTTGTTGTTGTTAAGTACCATTGAGTTGGTTCTGACTCATAGCAACCCTGTATAGGGTTTCCTAGTCGTTAAATCTTTGCAGGAACAGAAAATCTTATCTTTCTCCTGTGGAGCTGCTTGTGGGCTTGAACCACCAACGTAGTGGAGCCACCAGTGTTCCTCAAAGACTAGAATAATGAAAATAGATGATTTACTAGTAGGTAGGATTTTGGGACAAGGGATATCGTTGCTGATGTCAGATGGACCTTGGCTGAAAGCAAAGAATACCAGATGTTTATCTGTGTTTTGTTAATTTTGCATAGGCATTTGATTGTATGGATCATAACAAATTATGGATAATATTGTCAAGAATGGGAATTTCAGGACTAGGCTCATGAAGAAGCTGTACATAGACTGAGAGAGTCATTCTAACAGAACAAGGGGAATCTGCATGATTTAAAATAGGAAAAGTGTGTGTCAGGGTTGTATGCTTCCATCATAGTTATTCAATCTGTATGCTAAGCAAATAATCCAAGAAGCTAGACTACAAGAAGAAGAATGTGGCGCTGGGATTGGAAGAAGGCTGTAATATAAACAAACTTTTTTATATTACAGGTTGTTTATATTACAGCCTGTATGATGATACAACAGTGCTTACTGAAAACAAAGACGACCTGAAGCACTTACTGATGAAGAACAGATTACAGCCTTCAGAATAGATTATATACAACATAAACAAAACATAAAGCCTCATAACTGGAAGAAAGAGCAACATCATGATATAAATGAGAAAAGATTAAAGATGTCAACGATTTCATTTGACTTGGGTCCACAATCAATGCCCATTTAAGAAATCAAGCAACATATTGCATTGGACAAATATGCTGCAAAAGAACTTTTAAAAGTGTTAAAAACAAACAAACAAACAAACAGAAAACAATTCAAATATGTCACTTTGATAACTAAAGTACACCTCACCCAAGCAATTTTCAATAGCCTCATATGCATGCAAAAACTGAACAGTAAAAAAGGAAGACCAAATAAGAATTAATGCAACTGAATTATAATGTTGGTGAAAATACTGAGTATATCATGGACTGCCAGAAGAAAAAAAAAAATTATCTTGGAGTAAACACAGCCAGAATGCTCCTTAGAAGCCAGGATGGCGAAACTTTGCCTCACGTACTCTGGACATGTTTATCAGGAGGAACTAGTCCCTGGAGAAGGATCTCATGCTTGGTAAAGTAGAGGGTTAGTGAAAAAAGCAGAAGCCCACCAATGAAATGGATTAACACAGTGACAGGAACAATGGGCTCAAACATAACAACAATTCTGAGGATGACACAGGAGCAGATAGTGTTTCACTCTGTTAATATTGGGTCACTATGAGTTGATACTGACTCAACAGCATGTAATGACAAGATTGTATATGCATAAATTATCTCTTCTGATTTTAGTTATAATCTATAAATACATTATTTTTTTAAAGACGGTTATATTTCTCAGATTTATGTATGTGCTGTAAATGGGGTTTGGAGCAGTCATTTTACATGCATATCTGCCTACTTAGTCTCTCTTTCTAATCCAAGACGGAAATATCTACTTGTATTCTTAATCCACCTCTTCTTTCTGCTTATTCCAGAAGCTGGTTCCATCACCTCACCCCTCTTGTCTGAACCTGACTACAACTACTTTCTTCCCGCTGGTATAAACAATCAAATGTTTGAAAATTAAGAAAGAAATATTCCTCTGACTAGTACTTCTCCAGCCATTGCTTCCTTTCCATTAAGCTTCTAGAAAGTAATCTAATAGACTTGTCTAACTGTTTAGCTCCATTTTCAACCTTCAACTAAATTCATCTAGTTCCTTTTTCAGCCCCCTATGGTTTCAAATACCCCTGGCACCATGATTACTGCCAAATCTATATCTCAAGATGAGAACCCTTTATTAACTCATATACAGATACATATACCTTATAGAAATCTCTGTCATTCAGTCACCTCAAAGTCAAATGTCTTAAATCTAACTGATCAGTTTCCCTTTCCCAACCTCCCAGTCTTTATCTGGATAAATATTATTATCATATGCTGTTATAGTGGTTAAGTGCCGCTGAGTTGGTTTTCCTGTATAGGATTTCTGAGGAGCAGTTGGTGGGTTAGAACTGCTGAATTTGTGGGTTTCAGTCCAGTGCTTATCCTACAGCACCACACTAGGAGTCCTTATTGTCATATACCAGTGTCCAATTGAAAATGCTAGGACATAACCTAGGTTAAGTCCTTCTTCACTGCATAAATCACTAAGTCCTATCCCTTTTCTTTTTCTAAATGAATCTCAAATCTGACCTCATACTCCATCTATATTGCTATTGCTCTAATCCAGGTCCCCGGGATTTCCTGCTTAAATAGTCTAGAGGCTTCCTTACCAGTTGTTCTATCTAATTTCTTATTCTTCCTCAATCTGGGTTTCAAAAGTATTGTCAGGAGTAACGTTTCTAATATGAATATCTGTTTAGTTATTCAAACTTCTTGCTTATTCCAGAACCTGATTCCATCATCATCAAGACTCCTTTACTTAGCATTCAAAGTCTTCCATGACATCAGGATGTCAAATGGATCTTGGCTGAAAGTAGAGAATATCAGAAAGATGTTCACTTGTGCTTTATTGACTATGCAAAGGCTTTCGATTGTATGGATCATGACAAGCTATGGAAAACACTATGAAGTATGAGTAGTCTGGAACACTTAATTGTGCTCATGAGGAATCTGTACAAGGACGAAGAGGCAGTTGTTCGAACAGAACATGGGAACACTGAATGGTTTACAATTAAGAAAGGTGTGCAACAGGGTTGTATTCTTTCACCATACTTATTCAACCTGTATGCTGAGCTAATAATCCAAGAAGTTGGGTTATATGAAGAAAAGCGTGGCATCAGAATTGGAGGAAGACTCATTAACAATTAACAACCTGCGATATACAGATGATATAACCTTGCTTGCTGAAAGTGAAGAGGACTTAAAGTATTTACTGATGAAGATCAAATACCACAGCCTTCAGTATGGATTGCATCTCAATGTAAAGAAAACAAAAATCCTCACCAATGGACCAGTAAACAATATTCTGATCAATGGAGAAAAGATTGAAGTTGTCAAGGACTTCATTCTTCTTGGATCAACTATCAACACTCATGGAAGCAGTAGTCAAGGAATAAAATGATGTATTATTGCATTAGGCAAATCTGCTGCACAAGACCTTTTTAAAGTGTTGAAGAGCAAAGATGTCAGCTTGAGCACTAAGGTGTTGCCTGACCCAAGCTATGGTATTTTCAATAACCTCATATGCATGCGAAAGCTGGACAGTGAATAAGGAAGACTGTAGAAGAATTGATGCATTTGAGTTATGGTGTTGGAGGAGAATATTGGAAGTGCCATGGGCTGCCAAAAGAACAAACAGATCTGTGTTGGAAAAAGTGCAGCTAGAGCGCTCCTTGGAGGTCAGGATGGCCAAACTTTGTCTCTCATACTTAAGACATATTGTCAGAAGGGACCCGTCACTGGAGAAGGATATTATGTGTGGTAAGGTGTAGGGTTAGAGAAAAACAGGAAGAACCCCAGCAAGATGGATTGGCAAAGTGGCAGCATCAATGGGCTCAAGTATGGCCATAATTGTGAGGTTGGCCAATGACCAGGCAGTGATTCGTTCTGTTGTGCTTAGGGTCATTATGAATCAGTACCAACTCGATAGCACCTAACAACAACAACAATTAGATCGGCAGTCCTGGTGTGGCTATATAGGATAAGTAATTGCACTGCTAAGACAAGATCAGTGTTTCAAACCCACCAGCTGCTCCTTGGAAAGTCTATATAGTGTCGCAATGAGTCAGAACTGACTCAACAGCACTTAACAACAATGACAACAATCAAATCAGTGTCCTCTAAGTGCCCACTTAGCAGCTCAAGCTTCAGTCAAATGAAGCTATTTCTAGTTCCCTGAGAGTGCTAGATTGTCTTAAGTCAAAGGTTTTTTATGTGCTATTGAATCCTGGTGTGGTGCTATGCATTAATGTGCCAGACTGCAAAGCTGTTTGAACTGCAAGGTTGGTGGTTCAAGCTCACCAGCTGCTCCTCGGAAACTCTATACATGGTCGTTATGGGTCGGAACTGACTTGATGGCATTTAACAATAACAACAATTGTGTCTACCCAGAATGCTCTCACCATATGCATTAGACCAGAAACCAACTGACATCAAGCCAATTCTGACTCATAAAGAAATTCCTCATGTCCTTCAAATCTCAGCTCGAATGTAGCTCCCCTCCCACACATTTCCTGACTTTTCAAAGTAGATGCAGCTGTTGCTTCTACTATGCATCTACCTTGCAAATTTATATGCACTTGTGTATCCTATTTTACTGAATATATATCACACAATATGATAGCATAAATTTTAAGTGGAGCAAATGTAGATAAATCAAGGTTCACCCAGACATAGCGAAGAGTTGGAAGACCTGATCACCTACTCACTCATCAGAGAGCCTCCATAACCAGTTAGAGATTTAACAGTGTACATACAAACCACTCATCTATCAGTTTGTCGTACTGTGGTAGTTTGCATGTTGCTGTGATTCTGGAAGCTATGCTATGGATATTTTGAATATCAGCAGAGTCACCCATAGTGGACAGAGTCACCTACAGTGGACAGGTTTCAGCTGAGCTTCCAGACAAAAACTAGACAGAAGGAGAGAAGAACTACTTTTGAATATTTAGTCACTGAAAACATTATGAATAACAGTGGAACATGGTCAGTACTAGAATGTTCAATATTTAAAGATGAAGACCAGCAGAGTACTGTCAAATATAGTGCCAGAAGATGAGCCTTTCAGATTGGAAGGCACTCAAAATATGACTGCTTCCTCAAAGTAGAGTTGACTATGCTGATGCAAATGGAGTGAAGCCTTCTGGACCTTCATTTGCTGATGGGGCAATCTCAAAATGAAGATGAACAACTGTAAACATCCATTAATAATTAGAACATAGAATGTACAAAGTATGAATCTTGGAAAATTGGAAATTATCAAAATTGAAATGTAATGCATTAACACCAATATCCTAGGCATTAGTGAGCTGAAATGGACTGGTATTGGTAATTTTGAATCTAATAATCACATGGTTTACTATGCCTGGAATGACAAATAGACAAGGAATAGCATCATATCCATCATCAAAAAGAACATTTCAAGATCTTTCTTGTAATACAATGTTGTCTGTGATAGGCTAATATCAATATGCCTACAAGAAAAACCAGTTTAATATCACTATTATTCAAATTTACACATCAGCCAGTAAAGCCAGTGATGATGAAACTGAAGAATTCTATCAACTTCTTCAGTCTGAAATTGATCAACCATGCAATCAAGATGTATTGATAATTAATGGTGGTTGGAATGCAATGATTGGAAACAAAGACGAAAGATCAGTAGTTGGAAAATATGCACTTGGTGATAGAAACAATGTTGGAGATCACATGATAGAATTTTGTAAAACCAATGACTTCATCATTGCAAATATCTTTTTTAAATAGCATAAAAAATGACTATACACATGGACATCACCAGATGGATTACGCAGAAATAAAATTGATTACACCTGTGAAAAGAGATGGTAGATAAGTTCCATATCATCAGCCAAACAAGGCCAGAGACAGACCATCAATTGCTCATATGCAAGTGAAGGCTGAAGCTGAAGAAAATTAAAACAAATCCACAAGACCAAAATATGACCTTGAACATATCCTGTCTGAATTTAGAAATCATTTGAAGAACAGACTTGATGCATTAGACACTAAAGACCAAATATCAGAAGAGTTGTGGGATGACATCAAGAACATTATACAGGAAGAAAGCAAAAGGTCATTAAGAAGACAAGAAGGAAGGAAAAGACCAAAATAGATGTAGAAGAGATACTGAAGGTTGAGCTCTAGCATAGAGATGCTAAAGCAAATGGAAAAAATGAGGAGGTAAAAGAACTGAATAGAATATTTCAGGAGGCACCTCAAGAAAATAAAATCAAATATTATAATGAAATGTGCAAAAATCTGAAGTTAGAAAACCAAAGTGGAAGAACACGCTTAACATTTCTCAAGCTGAGGGAACTTAAGAAAAAATTCAAGCCTTGACTTGCTGTAGTAAAGGATTCTATGGGCAAAATGGCACTGTGGGTTAATGTGCCCGACTGCAAAGCCGTTTGAACTGCAAGGTCGATGGTTCAAGCTCACCAGCTGCTCCTTGGAAACCCTATACAGGATCGCTATAGGTCAGAACGATTCGACGGCGCTTAACAACAACATGGGCAAAAAGGAACTCTGGTAGCGTAGTGGTTAACGAATCGGGCAAGGTCAGCAGTTCGAAACTACCAGCTATTCCATGGGAGAAAGATGAAGCTTTCAAAAGCTCCTATAAAGAGTTACAGCCTCGGAAACCCTAGAGTTGCTATAAGTTGGAACCAACTCCACAGCACATCATCACCATGGGCAAAATGGAGTCCTGGTGTGGCACTGTGGGTTAATGTGCCAGATTGCAAAGCTGTTTGAACTGCAAGGTCAGTGGTTCAAGCTCAAAAGCTACTCCTTGGAAACCCTATACAGAATCAACAACAACATAAGCAAAATATTGAGTGACACAGAAAGCATTAAAAGAAGATGGTAGGAATACATCTTCTTTTGGTGTATTCATTGGTAGGAATTCGTATCAAAATGAAATGGAAGTACTTAATCTTACAGTCCAGAAACAAAGGACCCTAGGACCATTAAGAGAGAAGAGCACAAGTGGAATGTGGGACTTTATCCAGAGAAGCAGCAACACCAGAGACAGAGGCAGAGATGGGAACTTGGAGAGAG